GAGATGATATCTCATAGTTGTTTTGATTTGCATCTCTCTTAGAGGTAGGGATTTTGAACATTTCTTCATGTGCTTGTTAGCCATCTGAATGTCATCTTTGGTGAAGTGTCCATCTCCTGTGCCCATTTTTCAATTGGATTATTTACCTTTATCTTGTTGTGGAACTACTTTTTATAATAGAAAAGAACATATACACTTAGGTCAAGAGTTTGGAAAATCCACTAAGTTCCTGTAAAGAGCTTCCCAGTAAATGTTTTAGACCATCACCTTCAGCAGTTACTGACCTCTCTTCTTTAGATAATTCATTAACAACTGATCATGAGTTGATCAATTGATAAGTCTTCCAATAAAACATATTTGGAGAAAATTTATGCAGGTTGGATCTGATATGAGGCCTTTGGTTTTCATCCTTGGATCTAAATAATTTATGAATCAATTGAAGGCTCCTCAAACCCGAACTTCACTGTTGTTGATTGCCGTCAGGTTGAGCATGACTCGTAGCGACCCTATGAATAAAAGACCTGAAGCCTTTCTATAACTATCGAGGTTTCTCAGAGTTCATCGAGTTTCTAGAGGCATGCTGTTTAGGAAGTGGATGTCACTCTTGCTTCCAGACCTCACTAAGCTTTCTCAAAAAACACATCTTTACGATAGGATGCATTGAATGCCAGAGATTGATTTCTAACAATGACTGTTACATGGTAATGCCATTCCCATATTTTCCTCATTATGGTTTATTTTAGATAATTGGAACATGAGCCCAATGGTATGTACAAGGTAGAAAAGGGCATGCGTTTTAGATCCTAGGTTACATGGCTAATAAGGACATCTGTGTGCACTTGTGTCTTTTTTAATCAGGTGGCTGATAGAATCTGCTCGGTGGTTGATTGTTAACAACAGATCAGAAGAGGGCTTAAAAGCACTTAGAGAAGTTGCACGTGTAAATGGAATAAAGAAGGCTGGCGATGTCCTCACAATAGAGGTGAGAAGGAACGGAAGTTAATAACTGCATGTAGGGAATATAAAACGTATATATTAACTTTGTCACTCTGAGATGCTATCAAGTTCATTCTGAGTCACTGCGACCCACATGCAACAGAAGGAAGCACTGCCTGATTCTGCTCCATAGTTATTATTGTTGCTATGTTGGAGTCCATTATTGCAATTGCTATTACTGAACAAGCTATGGGTCCTTCACCATCAGTTGTTAAGACCAGATATATGACAAGTTTTGTTGTATATTGTTTAGTTGAAACTGACCCATAGCTGACCCTCCAGTAGGTTTTAGGAGGCAGTAAATCATGCGGGGAGGAGATGACTGATCTTTCTCCCATGAAGTAGCTGGTGGATTCAAACCATGTACCTTTGGGTAGCTTATTCATGCACTTTATTCATGGATTCAGAAGACAGTGAGAGAGAGAGAGGGTTCTCCAAGATTGCCTTTCCACTTTCCAGGTGGGCGGGGATTTTATACTTTGTTGTTGTTAGGTGTCATTGAGTTGAGTATGACTCATAGTGACCATATGAACAGCCAACCTGAACCCTGCCTGATTCTGGGCCATCTTGACCTTTTCTGACACTCTCGAGCCCAGTGCTGAAGTGACTGTGTCAGTGCATCTCAGTGGGGGTCTTCCCCTTTTACAATGACCCTTCAGCATGATGTCCTTTTCCATGGAGTAGCCTCACCTAACTCCATATCCAAAGTCTGAGAGATGAAGTTACACGATTTTTGCCTCCAAGTAGCACTCTGACTGCACTTCTCCTCCCCCCCTCCCCAGTCATACTTGTTTGTTCTTTTGGTTTATTTATTTAGTTTGGCTTGTTATTCAGCACTCTTCTCCAGCATCACAACTCAAAGGTATCAATTCTTCTTTTGTCATCCCCGTTCATTGTCAGGTGATTGAGAAGACCATGGCCTGAATCAGGCACACTAGTTTTCAAACCGACATCATTGCTCTTCAGAATTTTTGAGAG